TATATATATTTTGTTTGTATATATATATATATATATATATATGCTCAATATTCATCATAGTATAAATATATCTTGCTAGCGATAATTGTTCGTTGAACTATACCACGATATTTACTTATGTATGTTTCTTCTCAATACCATCTCCTTGTTTATAGTCTGCCTCGTACAATAAGTGTTACCAAATCTGATCAATAGTGCCGTGTGATACGACACGTCTTGGCGGACGAAGCAATCATGTTACCTACACCATACCTTGCTCATTTACCTACTGACATTCTTACCTTATCATGCTCAAGTACCTATCGACACACTCATCTTACTATGCTCACTTACCTACTGCCTTGCTCCACTTTCGTGTGGCAGCATACATGAAGAAGATGCAGTGGACGATTCCAGTGACTACGGTTCAGATGACGACGACGAAACACCAGTAGACCCACGCGTGGAGGTATAGGGCCATTGCTTCACCAATGCTACACCAATGCTACACATATACACCATTGCTACACATATAAACCTTAGCTACACATAAACCTTAGCTACACATATAAACCTTAGCTACACATATAAACCTTTGCTACACTATAGCTGCACGTATAAACCATTGCTACACTATAGCTGCACGTATAAACCATTGCTACACATATAAACCATCCATACACAAATAAACCATCCATATCTCGCCCAGAAGTACATGTCAGAGTGTCAACTGTGTCTGTAGTCATGCACTTATAGCACACTCTGCTTAGCTGCTGCGCTACCTGCATATCTTGCGATCCAAAACCCCTAAAACTTTGAACCCCTAGAACAGTAGAACCCTGAAATCCTAAAACCCTGTGTCTGTTAGGGTGTGCTGGTGGCCATGACCGATGCCATGGAGGATGTCAACATCAACGAAAACCTCTACAACAGAGCGAAGAAACAGTACAGCGACGCCATACAGGACGGCATGTCATGCCACTACGCACCGCTGCATGTGTGCGTGCATGGACATGCTGTGTGCGTATATGCGTGTTGTGTGTGTGCATATGAGTGTTGTGTGTGAGCTTATGAGTGTTGTTTGTGCACATACGAGTGCTGTGTGTGTGCATATGAGTGTTTTCTGTGTGCATATGAGTGTTTTATGTACATATGAGTGTTGTGTGTGTGCATATGAGTGTTGTGTGTGTGCTTATGCGTGTTGTTTGTGCACATACGAGAAACCCTAAATTTCCTTATGTACATGTATTTGTTTATTACTTATTACTTTCATCATATTCAAGTGTTGCTTATTACTTTCATAAAGCTCATGTGTTGCATATTACTTACATCATGCACGTGTGTTGCTTATTACTTTCATTTTCTTATTATTTACATCATGTACATGTGTTGCTTATTACTTACATCATGTATATATGTTTATACTGACATCATGTACATGTGTTGTTTATTATTCATATCATGTATATGTATTTATACTGACATCATGTACATGTGTTACTTATTACTTCCATCATCTACAGGTGTTTGCACTTACTTCATGTATATGTGTTGCTTATTACTTACATCATCTACATGTGTTTGTACCTACTTCTTGTACATGTGTTGTCTCACACATCACTCGTTCTGTCACGTGCAACAGGCGATAGGAAACTCAGAGAAGTGCTACGACGTACGGGCGTTCGCTCAGCCGTCAATAAGACAACCGACTACTTCAATTCATGGCAGCTGTTAAGGTGGGGTGAGTGTACTCATGTGCTGTGTTAAAAGCATCAACACTCTCTCCTGTGTTAATAGCCACCAACACACTCTCCTGTGTTAATAGCACCAACACTCTCTCCTGTGTTAATGGCATCAACACACTCTCTCCTGTGTTAATAGCACCAACACTCTCTCCTGTGTTAATAGCACCAACACTCTCTCCTGTGTTAATAGCACCAACACTCTCTCCTGTGTTGCTGAAGTTTATGTGTGTCGTTGTTTGAGAATGGTGTCGGTGTTCCCGTTTTGCATATAGACACACATATACCACTACACATGTCTTGTGTATGAATTTGGTACGATACATATATATACATATGCATAGTATATTTGAATACATATGCATAGTATGTTTGTATACATATGCATAGTATGTTTGAATACATATGCATAGTATGTTTGTATACATATGCATAGTATGTTTCTATACATATGCATAGTATGTTTGTATACATATGCATAGTATGTTTGTATACATATGCATAGTATGTTTGTAAACATATGCATAGTATGTTTGTATACATATATATAACTTGTTTGCTTGTCACCAGTGCACGCACATAGCGCATTGTGACTATAACGTATTGTTTCGAGTGGTATCACATGACTCAATTGAGTTTGACTGCACCGCAGGCAACGGCTCGAAGATGCACGCACCGCCACTACACAATACGAGGAAGCCCAGAACCAATTAGAAGAGGTGAGTGTCTCCTTTGATTGGCTGCTATTAATAGAACCAATTCGATTGTGGAGTGTGGTTGATGTACATTTTCATTGGCGTCTATCCAGAGAACCAATAGAAGGGGTGAGTGTGATTTGTGCGCACGTCCATTGGCTTCTATAAATAGTTTTATTTCGTACGTTAACCACAGTATACGGTTACCGGACTTTTAAACTTCCACTGTCAGTCGCTTCGTTTTTGTGTGTCACAGTCGTCTTAAGCTTATCTGTTGTGTTGTGTTGTTGTGAGTGGCGTTGTTCAGATGTACGTAACATTCCTCCTACGATGGTATCACATGTTTGTGTTTTGTTGTTTGTGTGTTGTTGTTTTTGAGTTGTTTTGGTTTTATTGTCTCGTTTACTATGAGTCCACACATGTTTGTGTGTTGTTGTTTGTGTGTTGTTGTTTGCGTGCTGTTTTTTTTTTGACGTACTTTGCTTTTTGTTTTGATATACTATACTGTGTACTGCATATTCTGTACAGTGCGTTTGCACGATGAACGCTTTCCGTACGTCAACACCCGCCACACACCCAACTCAGCTGTAGGCATATAGCGA